AATAAGAAGAGTTTTACGGCTTAAATCAATTTGAAATAACACTAAATTGGTCAGCAGTGTTTTTACTTAATTAAATGTCGACATAATTTTATAAAATAAATTGAATTTGCATACATAATAAAAAATGAATTACAATTTCACGGCAAAATATATTTTTCTCTATATATCTAAACTGGTCAGCAGTTTCCCTATATATCTAACTGGTCAGCAGATTCTACTATATGTTTAAACTGGTCAGCATTTTCTCGCCTGAATGTAAAGAGCGTTAAATTTGCTGACCATATAGAATAAGAAGACTTTTACGGCTTAAATCAATTTGAAATAATATTAAATTGCGTCAGCAGTGTTTTTACTTAATTAAATGTCGACATAATTTTTATAAAGTATATTGAATTTGCATACATTATAAAATGAGTAACAATTTCACGGCAATATATATTTTTCTATATATATCTAACTGGTCAGCAGTTTCCCTATATATCTAACTGGTCAGCAGATTCTACTATATGTTTAACTGGTCAGCATTTTCTCGCCTGAATGTGAAAGAGCGTTAAATTTGCTGACCATATAGAATAAGAAGAGTTTTTACGGCTTAAATCAATTTGAATTAACATTAAATTGGTCAGCAGTGTTTTTACTTAATTAAATGTCGACATGATTTTTATATAATATATAAAATTTGCATACATTATAAAATGAGTAACAATTTCACGGCAAAATATATATTTTTTTCTATATTTCTAACTGGTCAGCAGTTTCCCTATATATCTAACTGGTCAGCAGATTCTACTATATGTTTAAACTGGTCAGCATTTTCTCGCCTGAATGTAAAGAGCGTTAAATTTGCTGACCATATAGAATAAGAAGACTTTTTACGGCTTAAATCAATTTGAAATAATATTAAATTGGTCAGCAGTGTTTTTACTTAATTAAATGTCGACATAATTTTATAAAATATATTGAATTTGCATACATTATAAAATGAATTACAATTTCACGGCAAAATATATTTTTCTCTATATATCTAACTGGTCAGCAGTTTCCCTATATATCTAACTGGTCAGCAGATTCTACTATATGTTTTAACTGGTCAGCATTTTCTCGCCTTAATGTAAAGAGCGTTAAATTTGCTGACCATATAGAATAAGAGAGTTTTACGGCTTAAATCAATTTGAATTAACATTAAATTGGTCAGCAGTGTTTTTACTTAATTAAATGTCGACATTATTTTATTAAAATATATTAAATTTGCATAATGAGTAACAATTTCGTAGCATTTAAAATATATTTTTCTCTATATATCTAACTTTTCAGCAGATTCTACAATATGGTCAGCATTTTGATAACATATTTTTGACTGTTTATTGTATTTTGTCATAGATAAATCAAGAATGACACGTCGCGTGTGAAATCGATTTTTAATATGACCTTTGGGCATATCGATCTCGATAAATTATCAGTTTAATGGATATCTGTGGAAACATGTTGTTTATAATGTAATAAAAGCTTATTAACTATAACAATTAGCACATTATTAATTTTTGTTCAATATTACTTATACAATTATACGAACAACAAATAAGGAAACAGAAATCACTTTATTTCATATTTGCACTAAATACGACATAATAATTATATTTTGTTTAAAATATACATTACGTATATGTACATGTATATATTTTAACCTATGATGCATAGTTTATACATACTTGAAACAAATTATGATTTTTCGTACATCATATTTTGACTACATTTTTAAAATTTTAACCAATATATAACACATAGAAGAAAATTCATTAAGGTACTTAAATAAAATATTATATCAAAATAAATTGAGAAATATACAGTATATATCAATTGAATTTTTTATAATTAATATGTATCATTTGTAATATTGACATCTTGAAAAAAAACATTTTATCAAGTATTTCTCGACCTCGCCTGTAATATCACCAACGGCAATTTGACACCTTCATTGTTTTCCCTTCTTTATCTAACTGGTCAGCAGTTTTCGATAATCCTTCTTTGTTTAACTGGTCAGCAGTTTCCTATATATTCTATATCGTCAGCTAATTCGTCAGCAGTTTAGTGCGACCCCTTCCATGATCGCACCGTTTGTCGGTGAGTTAGTAAATACTGACCAAGCACCGGTAGACGCACGACAATGCGATACGATATTATTCCAAATGTCGCTTCGCATTGTCGAGTGTCGCTTCGCGTTGTCGAGTATCGCTTCGCGTTGTCGAGTGTCGCTTCGCATTGTCGAGTGTCGCTTCGCAATGTTGAGCGTCGCGGTGTAAAAATCATAAAAATAACGCGACATTTACTCGACATTTTAAAAATGTCGCTTCGCGATGTCGAGTGTCACTTCGCATTGTCGAGCGTCGTATCGCATTGTCGCGTTGTCGTTTCGCATTGTCGAGTGTCGTGGTATGCACTTCTACCAACCTCGACACTCGACAATGCGAAGTGACAATGCGACAACGCGAAGTGACATCGCGACAACGCGAAGTGACATCGCGACAACGCGAAGCGACGCTCGACAATGCGAAGCGACAACTCGACAACGCGAAGCGACATTTCTTAAATGTCGCCCTTTTTTACCGCGACATTTCTAGGCGACAGTGCGACATATCGTTTGACACTGTCGAGCGTCGCTTCGCATTGTCGCATATCGCTTCGCGTTGTCGAGCGTCGCTTCGCATTGTCGCGATGTCACTTCGCATTGTCGTGTGTCTACCCTTAGACGCGACGGACGACATTCTAAATGGCACGATAAGGACACCGTAGTCTGCCCATTTGATTGTACGGTGTGGATACTCTTATTTAAAGCCGATGAAGTTAAAGATCATAATTAATAATAGTTTGTTATAAAACATATTTTTCATCTTTATTATACCGGCCCTTATCACCCCTTTCCCAAAAAAAACTTTTCCCTATATTTAAAGCTTTTTTTGGGGATTTTTTGGTTTGTCTAAAAAATTTAAAAGCTTTCAACATTTTGTAATTTATCTACATATTTTATAAAACTTTCATTATAGACCACTTTACTTTTGTTAAATAGCAATGATACTGTTTTATGCTGTTTTTTGTGGTTTTTATTTTCATATAAAAGTAGAAAATACTCCTATAGTAACTACTACTACTTATAATATCAGAGCGATGGTATCTACATTACTCACCCAAAACTATAGCATTTGAAGTTTGTTGTTTAACACCTAAAACATATCAGAAGGTTATCTACTTCTTTAAAATACATCTGAGCATTACAAAATTATTGGTGCAACCATACAATCATAAAGGACTAATTTGCTTTTAATATTTAGTTTAATCCCATAAACGACTTGTAAAATTGAGTTATAAGCCTAAAGATTTGATAATCTGTTAATTAAATTATCTGATTTTTTCAAATTGCGTGTAAGTAAAATTAACAACAAAATAAGTAAAATTATCGAATAACCTCTGCAATAAAATCATTTCATTTGTAGGCTGATGCGATGTTAATGAACAACGGAACGATGATGGAGACAATGTGGACAGAGAGTATACCACTCTGGGCGACGTCGTCGAACCGGTCCATATTGAATCTAACATCCGGGGACCAGGTCTTGTTCGTGCTTCTAAAGCGTGCGCCATATATCCATGGTTACATGTATTCGTCTTTTTCTGGGTATTTATAATTTGTCACAGAAAATGAAACGAAACACAACAAGACTAAAAATTATGTTCATGCAAAGTCTTTAGTAAGTAATAACAAGAACATTGAATCCTTTTTTGATTCAGGTTATCATAAGATTTTATTTTTTGACAAACGTTTATAAAGAAAGAAAATATAAGAAAACAGATTACCATTAAACGGGAAAAGATATATAATTTTACATAACGACACGGCCTTTCTTATATGGTGTAAAATAAAGCTTTGTTCATTTTTTTTTTAAAAATATCGACATTAGCAATATCAAAGGACATTCATAGAATAAATTCATAAAAACCTCGAGTATAAGCAAAAGGCAAAAACTGAATAATGACATTCGCATCATGAATATCTAGTAACGCAGGAATGTTGATATGACAAAAATATTATGAAAATGTAAGACCGAACTGCACAAAAATCAGACATTAAGAAGCATATTTTCAAAATGACTGTGATAACAGTGTGTAAGAAATTATAGCCTGGTTAACGTTTAAATAGTTTATTTCATGATTGACTTTATCTTCTAAATTAAATTCATTATAAACATATGAGAGAGGTTGATGTTAATATGAAGAAAACACTTTTTAAGGGTTTATGTATAACAACATTTCAACTGCAGTGGAAAAAAAATAATGTAAAATTTCTTACAGTTATATATTTAAATTGAACATAAATGCTGGTGATCTATGAAAACTATATAATATGAATAAACGTGACAATATGCTTATACAAATATATTAAAAATGTAGTTGATGTATTCATTTGCTTCAATCAAATGTTTTTGTATCTTGCACATATATATTTATGTACATACCTAGTAATCCTTTAAAAGATGTCTAAGTTTTTTACGTTTAAAGAGTAGAACAGAATAGTTTATAAAATACTACAAAGATATACTATGCTCATTTTGAATAAAATAATTCTATTTCAGAAATCATATAAATTGTACAATCAAGCAGTGTTTACCTATATACTGGAGTATATAAACTACTTTCATAAACATAGAAAATTTAACTGCTAAATGATACTTTTAAACATAACCTACATGACCATAAGGTTAGCTTTTTTGCTGTAATCAATTTTTATCAGCATTTAAACACTATTAAGATACTAACTTAAAATACTATTTACAATATGGTTGAATTATATTCTTTACAACATATAGACACATCGTAGAATAATCGACAATTGCCGACTAAAGCTGATATTATGTTTGAAACAGTTTACATCAAGGCGTTTACGTTTAACGTTTAATGTAAGCGAATAGCACGGCAATCAGATTTTACTGTCATCAATGTTTATTGATTTATATATCAGATTTGACAAGTACTCCACTAAATGTATTCATCCTAGATGAGGAGTTGTGTGCAAGCCGGCGATTAGCTGACGATGTTGATTTGACCCAAACTTTTTCTCCTGATCTTACTCTTATAATTGCTCCAAATGAATTACAGCTATGATTCTTATCCCCATATTGTGCATGTGCTGCGATAACGCTACCTTCCATCACCAGGCCAAGATACACATATTCATTATTTTCAGTACATGTATGAACAACAAACTGGTACAATCCTCCAACAGGTGCCATGAACAGGCCTGTGGACGTGTTGTAACCTGTTCCCTCGTTAGTGAATGTCTTCTCGAATATGAGAATCTCATCCTTAGTATCAAGAAGTATGTCTTTCAAGTGATGTGCATAAAAAGCGATCTGAGGTTGTTTGAGTTTTCCTGAGTATAGAAATAATATTTTCGTATTTTATATCTAAAATATCTAACTCAAGGGGTTTATGCAAGCAACAAAACCTTATATTTATATCAGGCCAATATCTGTAGAGTTTTAATAATTCAAATAATTAAAAACTAGCATGTGTGAATGGAAACAAAATCCTCTGGACGTCTTATGAGAGTTAGAAATTTACATATGGAGCAATATTGTTTGTTATATATTATACACCACGTGATATATCAAGATAAACATGATTCAAGTAAGCACAAATTTATTTTTCTATGATACGTTGTAGATAAATAGAAACCAAACACAGTTGATATACAAAATGTAACAATACCTTGGAGTTGAGTAAGTTTCTCTTTTTCAGCCTCGATGTCACTTGTCAGGTTTATTCTTTTTTCCTCGAATAATGTTTTGAACGATTCTGTAATAAAATATAAAAATTCTATTAACTAATATCTAACCAAAGTTCAAGGTTATTCAGTACGCAAGTTTACTACTAAGCATCCTATATCTATTGTTGCTATTATTTCGGTCTCCCTTGGGAATAAAAAAAGTAAAGCATTTATCATTTGTGTTCTTAATGTCATTGATTACATGCTCACGTTAAATTTTTCTAGAAACTGAAATCTGATTTTTTTCAACATAGATATTTTTATACACTGTATATAGTTTACAGATAGTTATATATTGCAGAAATATATGGTTTTACACTTCTGTCTATCAATTCAAATTATCAAATCAATAAAAAATATTTTTAAGATATATTTCATCTATATAACGTACAATTAGAAAACTATACGTTATTAGAAACATGCACAAAGTATAAAGTTTATTTCTTATTTTATTAAAACTGTTTCGGTTAACATGTTTAAGACACCTCCTGTAAGGGTGCTAGTTCTTTAGTACATTGATTTAAGTACATCATAACGAGAAGCTAACAACACCTATTGAATCGTGATATATAGATATGTACCAGAGGGGGTTGTGTATACAAAAGCTGTAATTCTTTGTATATAGCACACGTTTGGAACAGTCACTCACGCCAACACACAAAAAAAACAATTGTACTATAAACTTAGCGTTTCCAAGTATAAATATGCGGTAAGAAATGTGAATTTGATGTGAAATAACTGTTTTTTATATCTTCTCTCCATGTTATCTCGTCACCTCTCTTTAACATCTCGTCCGTTATGTTCCCTCTCATATCTGCAAGCATGTCCGTAAAATCTGAAACTGTTTGTTTAATGTCACCTAATGTATCTTAATTTCATTCACCATTGTTTCTACCTTAATTTCAGTCCTTATCATTTTTTCTAACAGCTGTTCTTCATATGCAAATTTCGAACATATAGGCTCTCTAGCCTCAGAAAAATTATAACTATATATTCCAACGACAATAACAAACACAAATAATAATGAGAACCTCATTTTGATGAGAACAATTGCAACACACTCTGAGAAGCTTTCAGGATTGAACCATGTGACAGAAACTGCTGTATTTTATTCAAAGAAAATATGTCAGTTTGAAAATGAGGCCCATATATCAAAAGGCATTCTGAAGAGGAACAGAATTTCACTACTCGAGTCATACAGTACACGGACTTTTATGCATTAAAAGAAAAAACAGGCATAGTTATATATCTTTATTGAGTAGGCGTAATTTGTTTAAAACAATACTGAGTTGATATTGCGATCTTTTTATTGTATTATATTACAACCGTTCATGCTTTGACTATAAAAGACCATTTCTCTTATTTCATTTATTGTACATGATACATGCGACCATTGTTACACATTAGTAGCTACTGGAAACTTGTGGTTGAGTCTTTACGCCCATTTGCTGAAGTATCTGATTTGTTCCCGTTGTTGTTCGTATAAATTTCTTGACAAAGTATATAGCTAAAATTAAACGATCTTTTTCAGCTGTTTAGCAACCCTGCCAGACATGACCTTAGCAGCGCATTTATGACATTAAAAAAATACTTGGCTTGTTCATATAATGTTTATCCAACCAGTTTGGTCAATCAATTATTATTGCTCCAGCCCTGTTTATTTTACCAAACATCAAGCGTCAATTATATTTTTGATAAAACAATTTTATTTTCAAGCCTTTCACGTTTGATTTATTTGAACCTATCGGTACTTTACAATTTTGAACAATTAATATTGCTAGATTCTTAAAGGTTTTGTAGCCATATAGAAATTAAATACCTTTTTGAAAAGTCTTTGTATTATTGAAAATTACTTAGTCCGGGCCTTATGTTTAAAAGAAACAGTGAACATATGTCTGTAAAATGTTATCTACGCTAATTATCAGTATTTTGTTAGTTCAGTAAGATAATAAGACTTATATTTTCAAGTTAATATCTGCATCTTAAACGCGATAATAAATAATTATGA